GGGTGGTGAGGCACTGGAAGGGGCTGCCCAGGACAGTGGTGGAGTACTCATTCCTAGAAGTATTCAAAAACCATGGAAATGGGGCACCTGGGGACATGATTTAGTGGTGAACACACCAGTGCTGGGTTAACTGTTGGGCTCCGTGATCTTGGAGGGCTTTTCCAACCTTAATGATTCTGTGATGCCATGGGTTTACTTGGAAAACCTCATGGGCATTTTTCAAAGGAGCAGACACCTCTTCCTGGAGTGGGCAAGTACAAAGCAAATTTCTCTGAGCTGCAGGGTCTGGAAGAGCTGGAAAGCCCTGGGTTTCCCAGCTCCACACTGCTCTTCCTGCTGCTCCATCATCTTTGGTACACTGAGAATCACAGAGTGCTTTGGGTTGAAAGGGACCTTAAAGATCATCCAATTCCAACCCCCTGCTGTGCCCACTCTTGGAATAAGTGTGTTGGACGTTCTGCAGGCCCAGCAATTCCCTGCTGTAACTCTGTGGAGCTCCATGGGAGCAGCCAAACTGGGCTCCCAGCACGGCAACCGTTCTTCAAGGTGGAATTGTCCCCAAGGCCTTTCTGCACCCCCTGAGCAAACAGTGCACAGGGTGACTTGGGCAGGTCCATGACCCCTTGCTGGCCAGTTTTTGGTCACTGAGAAGGTTCCCAGAGCCCCCAGAGATGTTGCTGGGTGCCTTCAGCATCCTCTTTCCATGGTGGAACAATCAGGCTCCCACTATTGTTGTGGCTCGTTGTTATTCCTTTTCATTATCACCTTTGCCTGGTTTTTGTGACAAGTGAGACAGTGGAGCCAACTTTTGTGGTAACTGGGAGCACAAGATGAGCCCAATATCCCCGTGCTGAGGGGCTGGGAGTGCTGAGCAGATCTGAGTTGCCTGTGCTGATGTGGTCAGAGATGTTCTGAGTCATCCTTTAGTCATGCCGTGATTGTCACCCTGCTTGGGACTCTTTGACATCAACGCCAGGAGTCAGAGGAAGCATTGCTAGGGAGAAAGATGTGAGGGCAGAACTGTCAGGAAATAATAAGTGGTTTAGGTGGGTTAAAACCAGGGGTTAAGCTCAGCTCTGGTGCTTTGCTCAGTGCCCACACAAGCAGTGACCTGTCCCTTGGCTGATGGGCAGTAACTCAGGTGCCATCCTGCCTGGAACCCCTCTGGTCCTCACCCCCATTGCCATCTGCCAGTCTCCCCTGTCCCACTGGAGCCACCCCCCTGTGCCTCAAGGTTTCTCTGCCCTCCCAGGTTGTAAGGAAGTTTTTCCCATGTTTGAGTGACTTGGAATCATGGAATCATTAAGGCTGGGAAAGACCTCTAAGATCAAAAAGTGCAACCACTAACCCAGCACTGCCAGGCCCATCCTAAACCACGTCCCTTCATCAGCCAGGGAATTCAGGGTGACTTGGGTTTGTAAATCTCATCTGCAGTTGTAGCTGGGAGCAGGGAGAGGAGAACAGAGACTGTCACTGGGCTGTCACTCCATCCTGGCTGGAGCTGTTCACCTGCTCGTGCCCCCTCTGTCCTCACCAGGTGTTTTCCTGTCCATGTTTCCTTCAGTGTTCCTTGCTGAAGTCCTCAGTGTGAGTTTGGGGGCAGAAGGTGGGGGAGGATGAGAACACCACACTCATCACACATCCCGGGGGGGTGGCAGGGCCAGGGGTGGGTGTTCTTGTTCAGGGCTTGCAGGATGGCTCCTGGGGAGGAGCAAGGGAAGGTGAGAGAGCACAGACAACACAACACACGTGCTCCAGCCTGGTGTTTTCCTGGTGTTTTCCTCCCCTTCTCCCCACCTCTTAAACCCAGCTCAAAGTTCATTGTGAATAAGCCACACATGGCTTGGGACCCAGGGAATGGCTGGAGCTGTGTCAGGGCAGGCTCAGGTTGGATCTCAGCCAAAGGTTCTTCCCCCAGAGGCTGGTTGGGCACTGCCCAGGCTCCCCAGGGCAGTGGGCACAGCCCCAAGGCTGCCAGAGCTCAGGGAGGGTTTGGCTGATCCTCTGGGGCACAGGGGGTGACTCTTGGGGCTGGGCCTGTGCAGGGCTGAGGGTTGGACTCCAGGATCCTTGGGGGTCTCTCCCAGCTCAGCACATCCTGGGATTCTGTGAGCCCAGGAGAGCAGCACATCTGTGGGCACAGCAGAGGAACGTGGGGATGTGTGTGGGGTGTGATTTGCCTCCAGAGCAGAGTGGAGAACAGATGCTCAGTGTGAGCATCACACATCAGCTGGTACCACCCTGGGTGTGATGAGGAGGAGGAGGAGGACGAGGAAGGCGCCTTTGGACTGTGCCCAACACAAATTTCGAGCTGGATGCTCCCAGGATCTGATGGGATGTGGGTATTGGGCACTACCTGCTGATGCCATGGCTGTGGAAAGCACCCCCGTGTGTTTTCTCATTACAGACTTGGAACCTGTGTGTAGCTTTCTGTATTTCTCTCCTGGCAGTTAAACAGTGCAAAAGGGATTTTCAGACAAAATTGTGACTTCTCTTTCTTGATATTATGATGTTGCTGTCTCCTGAGATCCTGATGGCAGGAAGGTTTGTTTTCTGCAGCTTGAAACGAATGTTAAAGGGATATTTCTACCACCAAAAGTGTTTTGGGGTCTGGCTTCCTTGCTAGTTAAGAGTTTTAATTGAAAAAGAAGTCAATAATGGGATAATGCATTTTTTAATGGCATCTTTCTTCTGAGGTTGTGGCAAATGCTATAATTAAGCTGATAATTAAAGCCTGTGAAGTTAGTTATGAGCCCTGGCAAAGGCCCAGGGGAGTCAGGAGCAGGGTCTGCCTGTTCTGAGTCAGACACGGAGTCCAGCAGTCCTGGCCCCTGCTTTCTCCTGAGTCATGTGTGGGATGAAGTCCTGCCTGTCCTCTGGGGGTGAAAGGACATCGTAGAAAACACAAACTGAACATCTCAGAGTTTGGGGGTTGCACGTGCACAGCCCAAATCTGTGCAGGGCCAGGTACTGGAGCCTCTTTGAAGTGCAAATTGTTTTCTCACTAATCTGGCTAATTTCCAGAAATCAGCATCCCAGTGCATCCCAGTTTGCATCCCAGGGGATGGATTCGTTCCTGGCTTTCCCACGGAGGGATGGGTGCGATGTAAATCACCCAGACCCCACTGTCACCTTGCATTCCCTTCCCCAGGTGATCCCACCTGCTGTGACTGATCCAATTCCGCTCGACGCCGTTCCCAAGGGGGAGCAGAGGGAACACGTTTCCATAGCCCAGAAATGTTTTAAAGAACAGCTTTCCAAGGGATGGGGTGCCCACCCCTTTCCTTTCCTGCTTAATAAGCTGCCCCAGAAATGCAGAAATGCTGCAAGGGCTCAGCCCTGCAAAGCCCTGAAGGTGTGAGCAGCTCCAGCAGTGAGATGGGATCTCTAGGCATGTTCCAGGATCAAAGGCACCAGGAATCCCTGCTGGGCTTCTTCCAAGGCCTCAGCCCCAGGATATTCCCTGCAGGCAATTCCAGGCAGAGCCCCCCCTGACTGGAGATCACTATCCTGGCAAACAGTCCTTTGACTCTGCTTATTTTCTGGGAAGATAAGGAGGGGTTTCAGTGGGTGCCTCTGCTCGGATCAAGCACCTGAGATGTGATAAAGAGGACTGACGTGTGTGGTGCACGAGGGGCTGCAGGGGCTGCAGGCAGTGGGGGCATTTTAACAGCAGCCCTGGCATTGATCTGCTTCAGTCTGATGCTTGAAGACACTTCTCCCACCTGATGATTTAATCTGTTTTAATCTGGTGGTTTAAGACACTTCTCCCACCTGATGATTTTGCAACAGCAGCTGCCTGGAGAGGTGGGTGCAGTCAGGTGGGGTTGTAAATGTGAATAAAACACAACTGCAGCTCTTGCAGTTGCTGATTCTGTCTCCAGACTTGGAAAAGGGCAAATATATCCACTCACTCAATGATATGTAGGCAGGTGTGCCCATGGACTGAGAGATTTCAGAAGATTAAATACTTGCAGAAGGTCTGGACATTGTTGAGAAAAACTGGTATTTTTAAGACCCTTCAGCGGGCAGGAATATCCCTTTTTTTGCCATTTTCGTTTTCATGGCAGAAGTTCTTGGAGAGAAAAGTAACCTTGGATACAATTCCCCCTCCAAACAGCTCCGTGGCTGGTTTGGGGCACATGCAGGGGCTCAGGGCTGCAGCAGCTCAGCTCATTAGTGGCAGGAGCAGTCTCCTCTCCCTGCTAAAGGCACTGCATGCAGAGCACTCCGGGCTTCCCAGAGCTCCTGGAAAGCTGGAATGGAATGCCTTGTGGGTTTGCAATAGTCTGGCTCTCTGCTCTGTGTGGACTCCCTCCCTCTGGAGGATGGGGTTGGCCCTGTAAAAGTTTTGCAGAGATCCTTTTGGCAGCCGGGAGGGAAGAGCCCTGGACGTGCTGCTGCCTCCTGTCCTCCAGCCAGAGGGGCTTTTGGAGAAGGGATTGGCCTGCAGACTCTCCAGAGCTGGGAATGACCTGTTCAACCCTAGTCTGGTCCTATCTTCAGGTGTGGATGGGCCACATCAGGGACCATTCTTTGGGATATCAAAGGATTTGGGTCTGGAGGCACCATGGAGTTGATGTGGGAGGTGCCATCCACTGGAATATCAAAGGATTTGGGTCTGGAGGCACCATGGAGTAATGTGGGAGGTGCCTTTCTTTGGGATATCAAAGGATTTGGGTCTGGAGGCACCATGGAGTAATGTGGGAGGTGACACAGTGGGTCCTTGATGTGCAGCAGATCCAGAGCAGCAGGTTGGACATTGGCACTCAGGGATAATTCCTTGATAACAGTGAGGGTGGTGAGGCACTGGCAGAGGTTTTCCAGAGGGATGCTGGCTACCCCATCCCTGGAAGTGTCCAAGGCCAGGTTGGACAGGGTTTGGAGCAGCCAGATCCAGTGGAAGGTGCTCTAGATGAACTAGATGACCTCTAAAAGTCCCTTCCCAGCCAAACTCTTCCCTGCCTCCATAATTCTGTGACGTTTTTCTTTCATTGCAGGGGATGGCCAGGTGGATTTCGATGAGTTTATGACCATCCTGGGCCCCAAGCTGGTGTCGTCGGAGGGCAGGGATGGCTTTCTGGGGAACACAATAGACAGCATATTCTGGCAGGTAAGTCAGCATTTCATTAAATGCAACTTTAACCAACTCTCAGCAGCTTCCAGAATGGGTTTGTTGGGGAAAACACGATGTTTTCCAAGTGGGAATGCCTGTGAAAAGGGCACTGGGGTCTGTTGTGTGTATATCCTGTGTGGGAGGATGTGAAAGCCCTTCCTGTGGATGGATGGAGTTGGACACAACAAATCACCCACATATTTGGGCAACATCTTTAGCAGCATTTTGGAATTCAGGTTTGGAAGAGAGAAGGATTTTTCCTGATGAGATTTTGGAGTTGGAAACCTTGAATCTTTACAACTGTGTCACTGTTCCACATCCCTGGGCTGTGGTGGGGGATGCTCTTTGTGGAGCAAAGTGTGCCCAGGAGATCAGGTCTCACTGGTGCTTCTGGGGTGAATCCAGGGCCCAGGCTGAAGGCTGAGTTGGCACAGGGGATGTTTTACCTTGGGGGGTGGTTTGGTCTGGCAGTGGGAGCTGCCTTTTGTCAGCCTTAGGATCCACGGGCTGTGCAAAGGACATTGCTGGAGGGACTTGTGTCCAGCTGAGCCCTGTGTGGGAGGAAGGGAAAGCCCTTCCTGGGATAAATGGACACCACAAATCACCCAGATATTTGGCAACATCTTTAGGAGCATTTTGGAATTCAGGTTTGGAAGAGAGAAGGATTTTTCCTGATGAGTTTTTGGAGTTGGGAACCTTGAATCTGCAGGACTGGTCTCCGAAATGTGCCGTGTTCCACATCCCTGGGCTGTGGTGGGGGATGCTCCCTGTGGAGCAAACTGTGCCCAGGAGATCAGGAGCAAAGTGTGCCCAGGAGATCAGGTCTCACTGGTGCTTCTGGGGTGAATTCAGTGCCCAGGCTGAGGGCTGGGTTGGCACAGGGTGTGTTTTACCCTGTTTAGAGGGGTTTGGTCTGGCAGTGGGAGCTGCCTTTTGTCAGCCTTGCAGTGGGATTTCCAACAGCACTGGGATCCATGGGCTGTGTAAGGGACATTGCTGGAGGGACTTGTGTCCACATAACTGTGTCCAGCTGAGCCCTGTGTGGGAGGATTGGAAAGCCCTTCCTGGGATAAATGGAGTTGGACACAACAAATCACCCACATATTTGGGCAACATCTTTAGCAGCATTTTGGAATTCAGGTTTGGAATGGAAAAGCATTTTTCTTGATGAGTCTTTTGAGTTGGAAACCTTGAATCTTTACAACTGTGTCACTGTTCCACATCCCTGGGCTGTGGTGGGGGATGCTCCTTGTGGAGCAAAGTGTGCCCAGGAGATCAGGTCTCACTGGTGCTTCTGGGGTGAATCCAGGGCCCAGGCTGAGGGCTGGGTTGGCACAGGTGATGTTTTACCCTGTTTAGAGGGATCTGATCTGCCAGTGGGAGCTGCCTTTTGTCAACCTTGCAGTGGGATTTCCAACAGCATCAGAGCTTCCAGGAAAAGCAGTCCAGGCTGTTATGGCAGGGATTAAACCTCTCCAGACCCACAGTGCTGCACTTTTCTTGCCAATGGATTAAATGTGTGGCTTCCTGTGAGATTGCTGCTCATTTCACTGGCCATCAACAGCCTTTGCCTGCTCAGACACTTCAGCTGTGACCAAGTTCTTCAGGAATCACAAGAGCCAAACCTGGAAATGAGCATTTCTGTCTTCTTTTACTGCCCTCCAGCACAGTCCAGACTGAAGTGGGTGGAGCTTTCTAAAAGTATTTTTAAAGTCTTTTAAAAGCTTGTTGCTGGTGCGTGACAGAAACAACCCTGGAAATCCTGCTCTGGATCCCAGGATTTGGTTGTCAAAGCAAGAGTTTGGTGGGGGTGAAGCCTCTGGTTTGTAACAAATCTGGGGGGGAGGTGAGGGCTGGAGGACACCAGGAAGGGCAGGACTGGGAGAACCAGGAATGTTTTGTGCCTTGGGAGCCTCATCCCAGCACGGGAAAGCACTAAGGAGGGGAGGAAGCACCATCCTGTCCCACTGAGCCTTCCAGGCTCCCCTTCCAGCCCCTCACTGGAGCTGTTGGGAAAGCCAAGCTCATGAGCTGAGCTCTTGGATGGGGAGGCAGAACAGTCTGGAGCCCTCTCGGAGTTCTCCTGGTGAAGCTGCTGCTGTTGAGTGCCCCTCCAGCCCCTGGGAATGCCTGAGGTGGCTTTGCCCAGAGGAAGAGGGGCAGGGGGGGAATGGGAGCTGTGGATTTGGAGCAGCAGGATCCTGGACTCAGCTTTCCCTGCCCCAGGGACCTTGTGCCCCCCCAGCTGGGGTGGGATGAGGGAAAATTGAGCAGAGAGTCCAACAACTGCCCCCTCAGTGGGCAGGGACAGCCCTGGGGGGTCCCTGCAGGAAACAAAGCCCTGACTGGATCCCACCAGCCTTGGGAAACAATGGTTGTGATCTTCTCCTTGTAAGGGTAAAAATACACCTCTTTCCATAGCACTTTCTTGGATTTCAAAGCCTTGGAAGGGAAGGCTTTGGCTCAGATTGCTTTTCTCCTGGGATAGGAGAAAAAGAAAAAGCAAGGAAAATTTACATAGGTGTCACTCAGGGAGCAGATTCCCTCTTCCCATTCCTGCCTGGCTTTACCCAAGGCATCTGCAGGGCCATAAGTCACCTCATCTTTGAGCATTTATGGCTCTGTATTGTCTCCAGTGGGATTCCTGATGGGAAACAAAGCCCTTTCCAGCATCAGGGCTTGGCTGTGCTTCCCACATCCCCTTGATGTGCAATCTTCCCATTTTCTGGGAAGGAATGGCAGGGAGAGGGGGCTTGGGTTGCTGCCAGAGCCCTTCCCCAAGGAGGGGGCAGTGCCCACGAGCTGTGCCCAGGGTGGGGTGGCACAGGAAGGGACAGCCCTGCCTGGGGGTCACCTGGGTGGGCAGTGCCAGCCTGAAACCCCACCCCAAAGCCACAGGCAGCAACAGGCACCTGGGAGAGGCTCTTCCATCGGTCCCAAGGGGACAGAGGATCCACCTTGGCATCCAGAAAGTGCCTTCCCCTCTTCCATCCAAGCAGCTTCGCTCCAGCTCTCACAGGTTTGGCTCTTGGGGTATTTTTGCTGAGGGTCCCACTTTTAGAGTGGGGCACTTCTGTGCCAACTCTGTTCCAAACATGCCTTAAAATCCCTTGAAATAGTGTAATTACACAGTTAAATAACAAACAGCAGCAGAAGGAGGGAGGAATTCAAAGGAACAGGCCTGGAGCTGCATTTGCAGGTGAAGCAGGAAGGGAGTTGGTGGGACACAGGAAGGTGGTTCCAGAGGGAAGGAGCTGCAGAGGGGATGGATCTCACTCCAGCAGGAGGGCTACAGGAGGTGGGAAAGGGGTAGAAGCAGTGGAAGAATAGGAAGGAGAGAGAGGAATCATATGTGGAAAGGACAGGATTGAAATAATAGAGAAAGGCTGCATCCCAACTACCATTTGTTGTCCCAAGAGCAAAGCCTGGGAGAGGGGGGATTCAGCCAAGACCTGAGCTTGGACAGGTAGTAGAGACTTGGAGGGTCTCTATACATCCCTCAGATGTATTTTCCCTCCTTGCTTTCCCCTCTGGGATTTCCAGAATTGTTTAGACTCTCTGGAATCACAGGAAGGTCTGAGCTGGGAGGGACCCCCAAGGACCATCGAGTCCACACAGGGGATTGAACCCTGAGCTTGGCTTTGTTAGCACCAGGTTTTACCCAGCTGAGCTTATCTCAGGCTCATCCCTTAAACTGAATCCTGTCAGTGTGTGTTTTGGGCATCCTGCTCTTGCTCTCCCAGGAAGGAGTGATCAGTTCTGCTCCTCCTGGAATGGCTCTCCCTGCTCCCTGCACAGGGTCAGGAGGCGTTTGAGGGGAGGCAAAATTCAGCCCTGCAAATACACCAATGAGACATCAGGAGAGGTGGGGAAACATGGACTATTTTCCATCCCAAAAATCCATCATTTCCCCTGGGAGATGCAGCTCCCACTGAGCCCCTTTTGGAGAACATCCCCAGGTGCTCCTGCTCTGTTTTCCAGAGGGTTTTCTCACCCTGTGTGCAAGTGGAAGTGGTATTTACCTAGGCACAGACATCCTTCACTGTCTTAAATGTTTAAGACACTCTTAAACCATCTTAAATGCTTTTTCTTAGCCAGCCCTGGGCAGGCAGGGTGGGAGTCAGGAGGAGCTGGAAGGCTGGAAGCAGCCAGGGAAGGCCTGGTTTGGGGCAGACCCCCCATGAAAAGCCTGCAGCATTGACTCCAACACCCCCTTTGGCTGCTTCCACCTTCATTCAGAATGAAATGGGGAGAAAAAAAAAAGCATAATGAGAAAAAAGCATAATGGTTCCAGTTCTACCCCCAGGACTGAGTTTTGTCCAGGTGAGTTGGAGGCATTTCCACTGCAGGGCCATTCAGGGCTGGGAAGGGATTTAGACCAGGAGCATCACAGGAAAGCCAAACACCAGTATTGGTAAATAGCAGCTCCTGGGGTTTTTTTAGCAAACAGACTCTAAATCTGTGCCCTGTGCCCTGCCAGGGATGAAAAGAGAGGGGAGAAAGTGAGATTTCATATTCATTTACAATTTTTTTGTCCAGTTGCTGAGTGCAAAGACCTTCAGCTCAAGTGTTCTACAGGATGTAGCGTGGAGGATCTCCAGTCCCTGGGGGAAGGAACAGGACCAGAAGTAATAACAACCTTGGATGACAGGGTTTTAATTAAAATAAACCTCTGTCTTGGCTTAAAATGCTTTTGGAAGTCAGAACAAGTTTGAATGGTTAAACAGCAAGGCTGCAACTGCACCATGAGCAGAATAAATCCCGTGCCCAGCAGCACTGATGAGATTATTTTGAAAAGTCAATACTTTGTACAGGGATCATCTGAGAGGCCTGATTATGTTCCCCCCCCTTTCTCCCTTCACTGTGTGCATGTGGAAGCTGCAGGGAACAGCATTTCCTCCTGTGCTGGAGCATTGCTTGGGCAGGGAGGTGTGACAGCTTTGTCCTGCACCAGGGGATGGGGCTGGACCATCCACTCAGCTGTGGTGTCCCTGGTT